GTGGGGTGTGGGTGTGGGTGTGGGTGCGGGTGTGGGTGTGGGTGTAGGTGTGGGTGTGTGTGGGTGTGGGTGTGGGTGTGGGTGTGGGTGTGCGTGTGGGTGTGTGGGTGTGTGGGTGTGGGTGTGGGTGTGGGTGTGGGTGTGGGTGTAGGTGTGGGTGTGGGTGAGGGTGTGGGTGTGGGTGTGGGTGTGGGGTTGGGGTGTGGGTGTGGGTGTGGGTGTGGGTGTGGGTGTGTGTGGGTGTGGGTGTGGGTGTGGGTGGGTGTGGGTGTGGGTGGAATAAATACAACATCCACATCCACATCCACACCCACATCCACACCCACACCCACACCCACATCCACACCCGCACCCTCAAGCTATAATCTTGAAAGATAATCAACATCATTCTTTGTGAGCTGATTAATCTATATAATAGTGCGTATGATCTTCTGTACATATCATGGATATGTAAAACAGATTTATTTGCCAATTAATTCAATGATTATAACAATAAGAATGTTGAATTACGAAAAACGAATTAAAAAAAATGAAAGATAACGAGCGAATAGCAACAATGCAAAATAAAAATAGGGCTTCCGTAGAAAAAAATTTTTTTTTCGAAATACAGAAATTAGAAAGGTTCTTACTCTGATTTTCGATTATCCTACAAAACAACTATAGTCTACAAGTGGTTTCTCATTTTACACATTTTGTATTAGTTTAATGAGACTAGAGAATGCATGTGAGTTCCACATTTCAGCCTCAAAGGAACTGCGCTAACAAGCTTTTTTGTTCTGTCTTTTGTTATTTTAGTTAGACACTTCTCTTTTCTTTTATAATTAGAATATACACAAACAAGAGCAAAACGTTCCTCTCGGTCTAACATCAACAAGAGAAAGCAGAAGAAAAAAGAACTTGTCACTTGGTTTCATAATCAATAAAAAAGAAAAGTGCGTAGGAAACACATGTGTTCGATTACAGCGTTTATCTTTGCTTTAATTAAAATTCATATAGAATTACAGCTTTGATAATCTTCAGATCTATGTAAAAGAAACTGAGCTTGCAGTTGATTACCATTTTAATTAAAAAAAGAGCAAAATATCTGATGTCAGTGGAAAAGTTAAAAGATGAATCTTTAAATATCAAGTCAAAGCTCAGAAAATAACAGAGTGGGTGAGCTTTTCGAGATAGTAGAAAAGATCGAAGGACTGTTTTTCTTTCGAATGAAGAAAGAGTTAGTCCACCATTGATTTAGTCTCTTTTTTCTATATAACGTGCCTAAAAGTGTCTGAAATAGTTCTAGACTCGAGCGTAGTACTTTGTATCTATTTATCTCGAAAACCTAAAACTTCGACACATTTTCAAATAGCGATGATAAAGTTCATCTTACATGTGTTACTCCATTTTCTATTAACGTCTGTTCAGTATATCTTAGAAGTGAGTTTGCTGAGTGAAAACAAACATTTTATCTAATTACAAACAATGGTTAATTCATTTGGTTCAGCTACAATTGAATATTTCGTTATTTTGACACTTTTTATATTTTAGAGTTATGTCACACTTGAATCCACTCTTCATTCTTATCGATATCATTGCCATCTTTTCCTTACTAATCGAAATTTTCACCTCATTCCTAATTCTGTTCATTATCGCTTGTAAACTGACATCCCATTATTCAATTGCAAATCTTTTACTTGGAAATACCTGTCTTTGCACACTTGAACTTTGTCTTAGTGATCTTATTATCTATGGATTTATTATTGCAAGTGATTCTAAACCAACGACTTCTCTCACAAGTCTCTACGATCAACAAAATCTCTGTCCAGTTCGTTCTTACTTTCTCTTTAGTGGTTTCTCCCTACTCTACACGAGTTATTGTCTTCAAGCCTACTATCGTCTTCGGCAAGTGATTTTCTATTATAAACATTCAAGCTACAAAGCATTCGTTTGTTTGTGTCTCGCTCAATGGGTCTTTTCATTTCTTCTTGTTTTACCGATGCTACTCACACAGTCATTCGTTTATATCCCAACAGAATTCTTCTGTCCGATTCCATTTACTAAACCTCTATCAGTAACATACATTGCCGTTAGTGTCTATGGAGTTTTCCTAACAATATTTTCTACAATTTATCTGTGGATCTATATCTATGCTACTCGAACAACATTAATTAATCTTCAACGTCGACGAACGAGTGAACGTCAATTTACAATGCTCAAACGTATTGTATTCCCAACATTCTCACTTATGTTTCTCGGTATTGTCTACCTCGCACTCTTCTTTCAAACGATAGCAAATCAATATCAAACACACGTTTTAACCTATCGTCTCAGTTATCTTTTTATTGCTATTGGAATGAGTTCCATTCATCTGCTAAAAATTTTTCAGACACCCCCGATAAGAAATGTTGTAATGGAATTACTCTACAATTTACGAGAACAAGTGTGCAAGAGAGAAGAAAGTCTGAATAACCTGCCATACAATCCAAATACGACTACTCAACAGCAGCAAAGAAGAACAGAACAAATGGCAACTCTTCGATTACAAAGAAATAAAGTTGAGCAAGTGGAAGAAACAAACACATTCAAACTGACACCAACCAATCGGAATGAGGAATAACAATTTGTCAGGCAGACAGTTACAGATTTTAATTCTGCGAAATGACATTGGTTTTCCTGTCTTTGTGAAAGTATCCTAATATTTGCAGTTGTCTAGAGAGAAGTGTGAGTCTTTTTTCAAAATGTCAACGGAGAGGCTACCGGGACTTATTGTTTTTTTTTTGGATTTATTTCTTCTGCAGAATTCATTAGGATTTAGTTGTTTAGTGAGGATTTATTAAGATTTATTAACTGTATCAGTATTTCGGCACACCCACACTGTGGGTATGCATGTATACACTGAGTTGTCTCAATATTCCAGCACACCTCATTCTCGCTTCTTCTACTATATCGATTAGACGCAAACAGTTCTTACATATAAAAAGGTCACGTGTACCTGATTTTGGTATTTATATTAATCAATTTCAATGGTAGATAATTACAGTTTCTACGCTAATGAATCAACGGTGGAGAAAGAAAATCGTGTTGAATGGCATAGTCTACAAATATTACATGATCAATTAATTCAATCAAATAATGAAAGCCCAAAAAGTAGATCTATAAAAAGGCAAGCTACATCACAAACTCAACACGACAGTGACAATGAAGAATCTATTTTATTAGTCGATAAAGAAAATAATATATGTACTTCAGTGAAGAAAAATCAAAATTATCAAAAACGTAAAGTTCAACGAGGTGAGGAACAACGTATTAATAACGTTGATCAAATCGATGAGTCATGCAACAATGATAAACTCCGGAAAACAAACAATTATCGAATCTATTCGAGAAGAACGAAAACAAAAGAACGTGCTGATGACTCATCTCATCATGTGAATAAATATTCAAACAATTATGAAATAAATCAAAATAAAAAAATAAATATGCCTAACTATCCTGTTAATGATCACTCAATATCTTATGCTACTGATCTTCATCTTACACCATTGAGAATAAAATGCAATCCGACTTTATCTGATAAAAATACTGCTTTAAAGTTCGTACAAGAATTTTTTAAAAGAATAGAAAATTCCTTCAGAAAGAAACACATTGATCATAGAAAAACACTTGGCTTTGATTATTGGTGGATAAACAATGATGGTGATCTTGTAGGAATCACCAAAGATTTATCATTGTACGTTTATTTATGTGATATAAGACATTACCCTGAATATATTGATTCAATTAAACTTAATCCTATATTGCCTATTCATTTACCACCACAGCATGTAATAGTGATAAAGTTTGTACCAAATAATTATTCTTTTGTTGATATTGAAGAAGATCTTAAAAACCGTTATTCATCTGTCTATCATATCGAAGAAATGAACGGTACCAGAAGAATGCATAGTAGACATATTAGAATGGATGTATATGATAAAAATGAATATAACAATATTTTAAATAGTGGAACAATTACATTAGGTGGTATGTTGTGTGAGGTTGATGAATATTTACCGCATCTAAAATTTTGTTATGTACCAAATGCAATTCTCTTGGACGTGCAAAAAAAGTTATGTAAATTAGATTATGAAAGATGCAGAAGATGTGGAAATGATCGAAATCATGGTGATCATAAACAATGCAATGTTTTATGTCACCATTGTGGAGGTGATCATCAAGCAAATGATTATAAATGTCCAATTTTACTGAATTTTCGTCGGAATCTCATTGAAAAATTAAGAGAAAATCCCGACAAACTACCTCCTCATATACAAATGTTCATTCCTTTTGATTCTAGACTTAGAAAAACAGAAAAAATTCTATTTAATCAGAATGTAAATGAATATAACAAAAAATCTGCTCAACAATTTATTTATTCTAATTCACTTCATGAATGGCCAATTCTTGAAAAACCATTAAATAATTGTAATTATGATAAACATTTGATTAATTTACAAAACGAACTTGAAGTTCATAAACTTAAGTATCAACTTGAAATTGAAAAAATCAACAATAAAATACAGCAATCTTCAACAAATAATCAAAAGTCATGCGTAATTATGCAAACACAAATTAATGCACAAAAAGAAATAATTGATTCAACATCATCAATTGTAAATGATTTAACACTAAATATAAATAAAAACATTATTAACATTATAAATAATTTGGTTCAACTACTCAATGATCTTACACCACATGATCAAACAAAGAACAATTTGAGTAAGTTAAAAAACGATTTAAAAATACAGGGTGGCCCATAATTAACGCAACGGAGAAAAAAAAATTCAATATCTCCATTATGGCTCAAGCAAACGAGCTGATTTTTTTGTCAATGATAGAGGCATGTTCAAGCTTCATATTCATAAAGACAAGCCTATAGAGATCCTTTGTTAAGTATCGTCAGTGATCTCGACAAAAAAAATTTTCCTTTTTCGCAGATAGGAAAAAAACCAGAATACGGGGTGGCGCAAAAGTCACTTTACCGAAAAAACATTGAATATCTCTACTACGGCTCGAGCAAACGAGCTGATTTTTTTACCAATGATAGAGGCATGTTCAAGCTTTATATTCACAAAGACATGCCTAGAGAGACCGTTTGTTAAACATATTGTTCGTTTTTCCTATCTGCGAAAAAGGAAAATCTTTTTGTCGAGATCACTGGTGATACATAACAAAGGATCTCTCTAGGCTTGTCTTTATGGATATGAAGCTTGAACGTGCCTCTATCATTGACAAAAAAATCAGCTCGTTTGCTTGAGCCATAATGGAGATATTGAATTTTTTTTTGTCCGTTGCGTTAATTATGGGCCACCCTGTACAGCATCATTATATATGTGAAAGGCAAACAGCATATAACAATCACATTCAAAATCTTGAAAAATTATGGCTCAAACAATCGAACAATACGACTGAATTACTCGACTTATGTTTATCTTCCTCTACCACACACAATGATTAGTAAAGACTTCAAATATTCATCGACACAAATAGATTTTGACTATGTAAATCAGTTTCAAGGAACAGAAAAAATAGAAGAATATTAGGTGAGATGATAAACGAGTGGAACGAACGTATTTGTGTTTCGGAATTATGTACCAAATAGTATAAGACAAGACCAACAAACTCAGTTGGAAACTTACTCCTCGTATTGTATAATTGCGAATGTTTAAGTACACATCTGTCTGATATCGACTTGATTATAAACTTATATGCCCCACAGATAGTCATACTAACGGGAGTTGGCTCAATGATTCATACTATGCCCTTTATTCCCCAATATTATTGGCATAGCCAAAAAGGTAGCAATAGTTTCGGTGGTGTTGCGTTTTTAATATATAATTCACTGAAATCTAAAGTAATCAATAAACAAAATAATTTTATTTTGATTGAACTCGAACTAGCTTATTCTGTTGTTCTTCTGGGAGCAGTTTACGTTCCACCTAAAAGTTCACCTCCTTTCGAACTATTCGAAATATGTAAAGGTAAAGAATTTTTTCTGTTCGGGGATTTTAATGCTAAACACACCATATGGTCATGTAAGACGAATAATAGTAACGGAGTTGAAATACAACAGTGGCTTGAAACAACAGGTTTTGAAGATATTTTTCCCCAATCAGCCACATCCAAAAGATCTGATGCAATTATAGACTTTGCTATAGGTCACTCCTCTGTTGGATGGTCAACTGAAGTCTCTGACATAGGTACTTCCGATCATTTTCCTATCATATTTTCATCTCCATTCATAACTGAAAAAACATTTGTCTATCACAAAACCAACTGGACCATTTTCACTTTTTTTCTGTCATGTGTCTTTCAGTATTGGAATTCATGTGTGTATAATATTGACGAGCAAGACTTTTTCATTCTGTTCTCAAATTTTCTTAAAGCACTTTGGGATAGAACTAGCACCTACGAGATGCTTGAGAAATATAGACGTCCTTGGCCTCCCCACCTAATGGCATTAGCTAGACAAGTCAACAACATGAGACGGAAATACCGTAGAACACGTTTTCTTACATATCTATATGAATATAAAAGGTTAAAATATCAGTATCACCGTGCTAGACTATTATATGAACAAGAAACACGTGAAAAACAATTTCAAAATTTATCGGATAATCAAAATATATGGAGAATAGTGAAGCCGACATTTCGTCCCTATCTTCCACCATTTAGAGGTCTGAGAAATAATAATAACGAAATTATTAGAGACAATCAGAAAATAGCAGATCAATTAGGAAATTATTTCGAGAAACATTTTTCGAAACCGATGCACAATCTCGAAAATAAAGAGCATATAAAGTACTGGAAAATATATGAACAAATCGCTAATTCACCAAAGATGTCGGTTGGACCCATTGAAATAGAAGAAGTTTACAAACAGTGGCTTAAAATGTCAGCTAAAAAATCAACAGATGTTTTAAGGATATCAGCATTCCTCCTAAAATGTCTTCCCATAGAATATATAGGGGTAATCACAATTTTGTTTAATAAATGTCTCTTGAAAGGTGAATTTCTAGATGCAGGTAAAATAGCTAAAGTAATATGCCTATCGAAAAACGGTATCTACCATTCTGAAGATCAATTACGACCTATTTCATTACTACCCAACTTAAGCAAACTCTTTGAACGATGTACGCATACAAAAATACTAAAGTGGTGCGAATCTAAAGGCATCTACGTTGATGAACAATCAGGCTTCACTCCGAATCGACGTCTACAAACCCGAATCCTCACAATCTGTGAAGACATACGATTAACGATAGCAGCTCCTAATCGTCCCGCACTAGGAATCTTTGTAGACTTTAAAACTGCCTTTGACAAGATGTGGCACCCAGTTCTCATCTCGAACATGTTAGAATTAGATATGCCACTTAATCTAGTAAGATTTTTATATGAGTGACTGCAGGGACGTTCAATGAATATACAGTATGGCGAAGCCATATCCAGAAATATTAGTATAAATGTAGGAGCACCTCAAGGTTCAGTGTTATCAGCAACACTATTCAGATTACATTTGCACTTTTTACCAAAAATGTTTATGCGTTTTAATGTACATTTATTTGCTGACGATTTTGCAATTCTAATAAAAGGTTCTATTGAAAAAAGATTGTCAGAAAATATAAAGCAACTAGAAGAACATGCAAAAATAGCTATGCTAGCACTAGAAAAATACTTCAAAGATATTTTATTACCAGTGAATGTGAACAAAACAAAAGTAATGTTATTTCATAATGCTGTCGCCCCTTCATACCCAAATGTTTATTTTGAAAATATGAAACTGGAATTTGTACCTATGTTTAAATACTTAGGAGTTGAAATTAGAACCAAATTAGGATGTGGTATTTACCTGCAAACACGTTTATCAAAAACAAGAAATATATACTGTGGACTTTCGAAAGTCTACCACAATATTCCAAGAAGTGATATCAAATTAAGACGTTTATTATTTCTTACTTTCGCCCTCCCTCATTTTATATGGACTTTTATTCTATGGTTCTTCTTTACCGAAAAGCAGAAGGAAATAATTGAACACGTTTACATATCAGGTCTTAGAGCTGTGTATTCCTTATGCGGATGGGATGATTATACCACTTTAATATTAGCTCGAGAAAAAACCCTGAATGATTACGTATATACATACTGGAAAAAACTAAAAAACCATCTAGATAAATCCATAGAAGCCACCGCATTTAACGAAACATTTGAATCATATATGATTGTCACTTCACCTGATCGCTTTCACCTATTTTACAAAAATATGGGTTTTAGAAAAAATAGTAGGTTCCCAGAGAGATTGACTCATTGTGCTACCCACACGTATTTAGATCTATTCTATTTTTTCACGATTCGCGAAAAAGAATTGAAGTATTTTCGAACCTCTTCAAAGGAAATAAAAAATTTCATCTGTAGATACTTATTACCATCTTAAAATTATATCATCTAAAACAAAATGCAATAAACTACATTAGATTAAGTACGAAAGCTAGCTCAAAGTATACAAATAAAATGTTTCTTGTTATATATGTTGTCATTATATTTTTATCCTGTTATATGTATTGTCATTTTATTTTACTTTATTATTTTATTATATTATTCTTTGTACTTTGTACTTTGTACATGTATCATAAATTGTTGTAACACCTATATATCAACTCTGTCTACTGGAACTTTCTTTTCTTTTCTTTTCTCTTGCCAGTGACTCATCGTCATAAATAAAAGATTAAAGGATCTTTTCTTCAGAGTGTAACGCGTAAGAACGTATAGGACAAGAAGAAGCAGAGAGGAACTGACTTAGCAAAAACCATAGCACTTTTAAAGATTTTCCTTTTCTTCTTCATTCATTGTGATTGTAATTTTCTACTTTGTTTACTTATGTTTGTCGGTTACATCTTTTTTTTTCTTTCTTTCTTCAACTATGTTTCTATTCTGTTAACCCTAATCATTGGGAACAATAAACTGAATGAAAAAAAAAATGTTAGATCTCATTTACGCAACATAGATCACTCTCACTTAGCATGCAATATGGATAGCATCAGTATATTTTCTCGATTGTACGGACCTAAATGCACTGAAAGGACACTACAATAAAAATCAAAACATTCATTTAGTTGTATGATGCAGTATTGCTATATAAACTGAAGAAGCTTTCGTCTCTTTCTTTGCTAGTTATACGGTTTTGATTAATAATAAGATTACACTGTGTAAGTGAGTACTGGCACTATATGTTTAAAACTTCATGAAGATGAAGGTTCATTTTATAAAGAAAGATCATTAAATAACAAGATATTGAAGATGAGCTACATGTACTCACAATACTGTAAAATACCTTTGTTTGTGGACGACGGCTGCTATGCGGGAACTACGATGCATATTTCTTTTTATTCGTTTATACAGAAGATTAAATTTATTTTCTTTTTGAACAAACATTCAATGTTTATTTAAATAATTTATAATAAAAAAAATCAATGAAATGTTACTTTGTAAAGGATGTGGGCGTGGGTGTGGGTGTCGGTGTGGGTGTGGGTGTGGGTGTGGGTGTGGGGTGTGGGTGTGGGTGTGGGGTGTGGGGTGTGGG